GGCATTTCGGGCAGACTTAGTTTAATTCTTTATTTTAAAATATTACAAATTATGAGGTAAGTTGGTATTATGGCTAAGTGACTAATTACTAGTTTGTGAGTTTAGCAATGTGAATGCTTTTGTTTTGGCACAGTACATAGTTTCAGTATTGGAGTATCATAGGATTCATTATTTTAAGATTGAGATTAATATTTCTGTTTATGGTCAAATGGGTGAGTGAGTGTAAGTGTGAACCACCAGGTGGTATTCGTGTAGTTACTTGATGGGGTTTATCAGGGAGATAAGATGTTTTCTAATGGTAGTTTTGAAGGTGATGAATGTGTCTGCAGTTCTAGAGTTCTCAGGTAGGGTGTTCCAGATTTTAGGGCCTTTGACATACATTGAATTTTTGTAAAGGTTTAGTGGGACACGGGGAATGTCATAGAGATGTTTGTGTCTGGTGTTGTGCATGTGGGTTCTGTCACAACTATCAAGAAAGCATTTTAGGTCAAGGTTGATATTGGAGTTTAAGGTCCTGTAGATGTAGATTGCACAGTAGTAAGTGTGGATGTACTGAACAGGGAGTAAGTTTAGATCTATGAAGAGTGGGGGGGGTGTTGCCAGGGATGGGATTTAGTGATTATTCTTACTGCAGCTTTTTGTTGGGTTATTATTGGCTTTAGGTGTGTTGCTGCAGTTGATCCCCAAGCACAAATAGCATAGGTGAGGTATGGATATATAAGTGAATGGTATAGTGTGATAAGGGCATTTTGCGGCACGTAGTATCGTATCTTGGAGTGGATCCCAACCGTTTTGGATACTTTTTTGGTTATGTGTTGGATATGGGTGCTGAAGTTCAGGTTGTTGTCGAGGTATAGGCCTAGGAATTTACCCTCATTATGCCTGGCAATTAGAGTGTTGTCGATCTTAATGTTAATTTGTGCATCTCCTGCTCTGCTACCAAACATAATGTAGTAGGTTTTGTCAGTGTTAAATGTAAGTTTATTGGCTGTCATCCAAGTCGATATTTTGATCAGCTCCTCATTAACAATGGTGTTGAGGGTGGCAAGATTAGGGTGAGAGATGACATAAGTCATGTCGTCAGCAAAGAGAATGGGTTTCAGGTGTTGAGATACGTTTGGAAGATCATTGATGTATATGAGGAAGAGCAGGGGACCAAGGACACTTCCCTGCGGAACTCCAGTATCAAGTGGCTGTGTTGTTGATGCTGTGTCTTTAATGGTGACATACTGATACCTATTAGTAAGGTAAGATTTGAAATATGCAAGCGCATGGCCTCTTATACCATAATGGTCAAGTTTGTGGAGTAGGATGCCGTGGTCTACTGTGTCAAAAGCTTTTCTTAGGTCAATAAAAATTCCTAGTGGATATTCCTTATTTTCCAATGCTGTGTAAAGCAGATCTAGCATTTTTATGATTGCATCATTAGTGCTTTTATTTTTCCTGAATCCAAATTGGCAGGGGTTGAGTATGTTTTGTGACGTTATAAATGAATATAAGTCTCCTGTGCACGAGTTTCTCAAAGATTTTGGATAGCAATGGTAAGTTTGATATTGGCCTATAGTTGTTTAAGTCTGTAGGGTCACCACCTTTATGTATTGGTGTAACCCTTGCCATCTTGAGTAGTTTCGGGAAGGTGCTAGTTTCTAGTGACTTGTTAAAAAGTAATGAGATAGCATGCGAGAGGACATGGGCCACTCTCTTGTACAATAATGGTGGGACATTAGACAGATTCCCTGAGTTGTTTATAAGTGACTTTATAATCTCGGTGACTTCCGTGGGCTCAGTTGGTGCAAGATAGAAGGAATTTGGGAAATTCCCATCTAGGTAGTCCCCGGCATGGGCATTGGTATGTGGGATTTTACTGGCGAGATTAGATCCTATGTTTGAGAAGAAGTCGTTTATCTTGTTAGCTGTGTCAGTGGGATGTAGTGGTGTTTCATTAGGTTTAGTTAGGACAATATTCTTGGTTTTTTTCAGTTTGTGGGTCCCTAGAATCTGAGAGTGTTTTCCAGGTCTTTTTTATATCTCCTCTAGTGTCTGTGAATCTACTGGAGTAGTATAGTTGTTTGGCTTTCTTTATTACTTTGGTGAGAACTGATGAATAGAGAGTAGCCCTTGTTCCCTGAATCAAGAGCCCTTCACTACCACTGAAGTACCTTTTCTTGAAGGGTATTATTGCAACATTTTTTAAATGTTATGTACTTATAGATTTTTTGTGGTACAATATAACTCTGTTATATGGAAGGAAGTGGGTGTCCATTTAAATATCCATTGTATCAAAATGCCCAGGACAGCAGACTTGGTCCACTGTATAAACACATGCTACCATTAATGGGCAAAATCTCAATAGAACATGGGTGACCCCCTTGGCCTGGCTGGCAAAGCTCTCACTTCACACACGGAGGGCCCGGGTTCAATTCCCGGCAGGGTAGAAACATTTTGACGTGTTTCCTTACACCTGTTGTCCTGTTCGCCTAGCTGCAAGTAGGTACCTGGTGTTAGTCGACTGGTGTGGGTCACATCCTGGGGGACAAGATTGAGGATCCTAATGGAAATAAGGCAGTCCTCAATGATGCATTGCCTTTCTTGGGTTCTCCTGGTTGGCTAACCCTGCGGGGTTAAAAATCCGAATGAAATATCTCTCTCACTCTCACTCTTAGTCAGTTGCATCAAACATTTGTCCATCCAAGTATTTTGTCCTTTATATCTGAAATCATTACATAGGGGTCTGTTTTCTTGAGGTTTTAATATATTTAAATATGGTATTATGCTGTATAGTGTATGTTATGTATTAATTATCAATTTTTAAGCTAATAAAATTAAATAATTTATGAGCTGCTAACTATATTTTGTTAAACCACTGGTAAACATTAAAAATATCTAAATTTTTATATTCTGTCAGTCAAATTTCCATGATCTTAAGTTTATACATTTCTCCTTCAATTTTTTTCAGATCACAGTATTCCATTTAAGTTTATTCAGTATTTTCAATTAATGAATGTAAATTATTAGTTCAGTGTTCATGAATCCAAACAATATATAGTAAACTTTATATAGTTTATTAATTGTGCTCTTTGTTGTTGCTTTTTCAGGTACTGTATATGTCTGACTCATCAAAACCAATTTCTGATTGTTATACATTTGGTGTATATTTTTTTATTACATTAACCAAAAGTTCTTCTGACATCTGTCTCGGTCTTCCATTATCTATCACTTTACAATGAATCTTTACACTCCTGACAACAGTGTGGTGGCTGTATTGAACGTAACACTCGACATAACACTTGCTAACATATATTTATGTAAGGAGCATAAGACTCTAAATATTGTTTGTTATCACTAATAACACAATGGTGACATGGTCAAGAAACTGAACAGTAATGGGCTGATTCAGTTATAATTTTCAGAATTGTAATTACACTTTGTAACCTTTGCAAAGAAATAAAATCTTTATTCTTTTATTCTTTAAAATAATTTATAAACTTCCTTGACTAATATAGCTATGCTGTACAAACATATTTTTGTGTTGTGAATATACACTATTTAATGTTACTTATTATAGTGTAAAAAGCAAGAAGAACTCTGTTTTAATCTTATTAATGAAGCTTAAAATTTTCAGGCTTCCATTAAATCACTGGCTATGAGTAGAAAAATTATTTGATTACATGTATACTAACACTGTTGTAAGCTCATATTTCTGCATATACTGTATGTATACTAATTATATTATAACCCAATTATAAATGTATATGATTAGATTATTTTATGTCTCACATTCAGCACTGCTTCAGCACTAACAACAAAACAAGCTTTTGAACAACCATAGCAAGAGAGTGAGTAAATGTATTTGCTCCCCTTCATGACACCTCAGCTTATTATACTTCCTCTCCCACCCTTGTCTGCATTTGGTGATGTTGCTCTCCGAATCTTCAGTACTGATGCTCGCCTTTCTCTTTCCTTTATCACCCTCCTCCATCTCAGTCAACTGGGAAACAACCTCCCTGGGCATATTAAACCAGATATGATTTCAGTAATCGTCATGTCATCAGCATGATGTGCACTTGTCATGGATTATATTAATGCAGATGCACACTTGTCAACTGATTGTATAAGTAATGACAGGATTTCACATCAGCCATGCATGGGAATAATTCTGTCTTTGGATCACTTATTTCCTAACTTCCTGAAGATTTCCAAGTTAAATGTCTTTGTTATTGTATAATTATTAAGCGTTGTTATTTTTACTGTAAATCTGAATAGAGAAAAAGGTACTGAAGTGACATGCCAAAGGTTGTGAACCTTTCTTATCTATCACAATTAAAACATTAATCAAAATCATTATTAACAAATGCTGTATTTGTATCTGTAATTATTGGAAACTAGAATTCTTATAAAGTGTTTAATTTACTGACCTTAGTAATTTAGAAACACCACACACAGTACTTCCTTGGCAATTATAATTCTTCAGTGCTTGACACAGACTTCAGGAAAATACAAGAATAAACTGTTAAGGCAAACAACAGTAAATTCAAGTCTTGAAGAGTCAGTTTCATGTTAATGTTTGCTAATGTACCGTGTACTGTAATATTTACAAGGATTTTGATGGAGAGAATTTGTGTATAAGGTTATTCTTTGACCCACAAAATTTGATACTTTATTGAAAATTTTAAGCACACTGTATAAAAAAGGAATTACATTAACCTCTCGGTGTATATACTGACAGCCATACACCTCTCGGTGTATGTAGAAAAGAGGAATATTTAAGGGAAATTATCTTATGTTTTCCTGACAGGTTCAAATGAAAGTAACAAACTCTGTAAAATGACTCAATATCACTTGAATTTACTATTTGATTAAATAACTTACGACTCAGATCTGCTTCAGACGAGCTATAGCTCCATATGACGGACAAGCTGTGACACTGGTATCCTGCTGTAACCTGTCGTATGTAGCTAGAATAGCAGACTGACTGTATCTTGTTGTACCTATGTTTACAGTTGGTCGACAGCGATTGCCACTTCGTCGTCCAAGACCTTATTTTCCCCCACGATTTTGGGGCCCTAATCGACTCCCAGGTAAATTATCCTTCCTACTTGCTGTCCCTTTCCTCCCAAGCACACTGAATAGGATATTTACTGGTGTTTTTTGACCTCGTTAAACCTATTATGACTTCTTTTACGCATTACTGCCACACTGTGTTCCGATTATTTTCAGACTCGCTCGTACAGCAGTTTTATTATGCTAGTTCTTTTTACTGCTCACATTTGTTTTTCTCCAAGTATTTATTGTTATTTGAGTTTTATTTCCTCAATTTGTTAAATTTCTTATATCTGAGCTCTTTTTACCAGAGTTAGTTTTGATTTCCTACACATGTCTTCGCAGGAGAATCTCTGATTTCCGTATAAATTCTTTTTATTTATAATTGTATTCTGTGGGAAATGTAGGTTTTTGTGATCTTTTCCTTGATGCCATAATTTTTAAATTTTTAATCCTTAAACAAACAAAGCGGTAGTGCCCTTGGCTCACATCTGGACACAGATTCAATCCTGGCACATGGAGAATGTTGGGCATGTTTCATTACACCTGTTGCCCCTGTTCACCAAGCAGTAGGCAGGTACCTGGGTGTTAGGTGACTGTTATGGGTCATTTACTGGGGAAAAAAGATCAAAAGACCCCATTGGGAATGAAGCCACACTGATTGATCTTCTCGAGTTATCTTAGGTTACTAACCCTGTGGGTTAATAATCTGAAAAAACTTATTATGCCATTAAATCTATCTTTTGAATACAGTATTCTCTTGCTAATATTTTTACTGTTATATACATTAGGTGTTATGTTTAAAGTCTTATCAACTGCTAGGATCATTAGCTCTGGTGCAGTCTACAAGCCTCTGATTTCTTGTTAGAGAAGTTTTGGATGCCATGCAGTGAATATACAATAACTATTGCATCTATTACAGTACAGTTGTACTTGTATTACTGCTGCCACTTTTGACAAATCCACCATTGCTGTTAGCTAACTACATGAATAAAACGAATGTTTTACAGTGATACTATTACTTTCACTACTAAATCAACAACCACTAATGCATATACAATTTTAAAGACTTTAAAGTATGTAATGTGAACTCCATTTTAACTTTTTATTTAAAATATAAATACCATAAGCCTAAATTATTTTTTAGCTCGAGTAATATTTTACAAATGTTCCTACATCTGCTAGTGGCTATCATTTTCACTGATTTCCATTTTGGCTTCTTTGAAAGTCTGCCTCTTTTCACAAAAAGCAGTTCAGTGCAGAAAATGCACTTATTTAAAAATTCTTTCTTGTTTTCTAAAAGAATCACAACTGTGTATTTCCTCTGTATCTCATTCTGTTTATTGTGATGTTGCATGTTGCACCTTCCTACTCAGTAATTGTGGCAAGGGTTTTTTTTAGTAATGCATCCATTTTTAGACTTCTAACATTACATAATTGAAAATAACATGTGGCTTGACAAAGACTATATACTTTGTTTTATTCATTCTCACCACAATTAAATATTGGGATTACTGTTTGTAGTAGAGGCAGATAACTGTAAATGACACTAATATACAAATATACGACAACCTAAATAATATGCTCAATAAAGAACTAGGGTAAACTAAACTTCAATATATTTTGGCTGAGTGCCTCTCAATGTCATCATCTGCATTCAAGAAGGGAGGATTAATGTAGACAAGACTGGACATGAGCATATGTTAATATAGCATTCAGTTGATAAATAAGACACATGAGCAACACCTAGCTGTCTTCAGTGAAAAAACATTTCACCTGAGCAGTAGACTTTTTTTCAATCTGATTAAGTTCAGAGGCATGAGTTGGAAGTAATAGTGATGAAACAGGCCTTTAGTGCCTTAGCTTTGATAGGTCTAATAAAGAGGCCTAGGTTTACGAAGGCTTAGGAACTGAACACGTTAAAATTATGTCTCCACTAAGCAAGCTGACAACCACTGCTGCTCTGCTACTATCACTACTTCATTGCTCCACTATTTTACTTTCATTTCATGCCTCTATTAGACTCAAAAGCCTACTGTGCAGTGAGACATTTCTCCAGTAAAGATGCCCTCATCACCATGCTCTTTCCTAAGTTCACTCTTAATTTCCTTCTTTTACATACCCTCCCCAAATTCATTTACCAACCTTTGCAACTTGTTGGTATTATATGCTGTTGATGTTATAACATTCAGTGATTCACCCATAGGGCTACAGTGGACACTGCTTTCTTCACCTGTTACAGAGGGTATCTTTACCTATTACAGTGGGCACTGGGCATCTTTTCTTTCACCTGTTATAGGGCATCATTTCCTTCACCTATTACAGGGTATCCTCTGCTTCTGTTACAAGGGAGTACCTTCTCCTGTACTTCCTAAATGCTCTCTGCACACGGCTAACAATTCAAAAATCTACATACAATAAATTCTCGAATAATGCATGGGTTATGTTCCTGAAGATCAGCACAGATTAGTGTTAATTGAAGAGCATATGGGAAAAACAGAATTGTTTCTGAGACCTCCAGTGGTTTATACCATATGATGTATTGAGCTGATACAGCTGTTGCAGTTCAATACATCATAAACTGTGGTGGCCTTAGACATCCCAAACAAAAATGAATTTGTAATGGCTACCCCACACTCTAAATCATACCTTCACTGCACAACTTTCTCCTTTAACTTCATATATTATCAATCATCATATTCAAAAGTTGTAGAAATACAGCTACTGTTAAAGGCATGAGAATGTATAATTAATGTAATTATAGATTACTAATCCTGCACTGCCTCCTGACATATCTAAAACCTCAGTTTTTATCTAAACAATCAGCTAAGTCTAGCATCATTAGTATTCATCTTTGGTGTCATGGGTAATATACACAGATAAAATGGGGTGGAGAAAATATCCAAAAATCATTCAATAAACACGAGCATTACATACACAAATGTTCCAGAGAGCGACTGAGGCAGCAGAGGTGACATAAGGGGTGATACATGGTCTATTCACATAAAAAATGGACTTTCTTGTAGGCCCATCTCTTGGTACAGAGAAATATCCCTCCAGGTATAGTATGTATAGGAAACTAAGCATTATAATAGCTATAATGAGTTAGGATTCTAATACAAACTGTAAACCTCCCATATCTGTGGGTCCAATTTCTGCGGTTTCAGTTATCCACTGTTTATGATGGCCTGAAAATAATCCTTAATTTTGCTTAATAATGACACCAAAGCACAGCAGTAGTTTTGATGGCAGTTGTTCAAAGCCTAGGAAAAATGGTGAAGTGCTTCCCATCAGTGAAAAAGTGCTAATTCTCCACTTAATCTGCATAATTTATCAATAAAAATTTATCATAGGTATGTATGCAAACAAAAAACGACTTGTATATAGGGTTCACTACTATCCACGGTAGGTCTTGGAATGTATTCCCTGAGGACATAGGAGTCTTACTGTACAGTACAATACAAAGCTGGCAATTACCAACAGCCTGATCAGAGACGAGACTACAGTCAGCTGAGAGAGGATTAAGAATGACCCATGTACATTTAGTGCTTTATAAAATAGTACAATATGATGTTAAATTTCTGACTATAATTGCCCAATCATGACACTAACCCATTTACCCATTTATACCATGCAGACTTTTCTGAAATACAAAAACTGCATTTATTTTCATTTAAATGGACGACTCTAATGAAGTCGTGGCACACTTTTAGCATGCACAAATTAACAGGTCTAAATACTACATCATTTCTATGTTTAGTCCCTTATCGAACCAGCTATTAATGCAGCATGTGTCATTATTAATGCCAATAGCACATGTGCAGACATTAATAAAACCCCAGTGCTAAACCTACAGCAAACACGTAACCAGCCTAAGACCCTCGGCATGCTTTCCTAAACTGATGAGCATGCAGTATTAAAAGAAATTTGTTTTAGTATCCCAGAGGAACTTTATGACAAGGATTCTGTTACAGTTCGTGTGGGCCCAGTTTTAAATTCGGCCAGACAGCAGTTCCAGGTTCCCGTCGAGTCCAGAGTTCAACAACCGACTCTTTTTAATGAACCAGGTAGAAATAATAATTGAATTGCCAAGCGGAACACTAACAGTAAATAAAGTAGTAAAGAAGAGCTTTAATAATAAATATTAAAAAACTATATTTAAGTACGGTACAGCTACAATACTGAAATATGGTGAACGGACTAATCGATTGAGGTTTGTATTATACAGATTCCAAGAGCCATTCGAAATTATATGCACTTCCTTATAAATCATACACTGTGAAACTATTGCTGTTAGGTCACATTTACATTCTTCATTATTCTCCTGTAAACAAAATTTGAGTTAACTTTTCCTCTCCATCACTGTGATAGGCAGAATGGCTTCTGGCTCTGTGATTTCACTCATAGTTCAGGCAATTTTCCTATCTTTGGATCAAAGAAATTACATGAAATTCTTACCCTAAATATTTTGGTGGGCTATGCTGTATATTGGCTTTAAGGTTTTTTTTTCTCTGGTAACTTCTTGCTTGTGTATACTGGACTGTACATTTTGTGGTTGATATGAAATCTGATCCTTTCTTTTGTTCTTTATATAGCTTTATGAATATTGTAGAGCAATGCTTTCATACTAATTACTGTAAAAATGTAGATTTTTAAACAATTTCATACATTAGTGTGAATAAAAGTTCCTGTGGTTTACTTTGGTAAAGCCATAAGTGTTATCTTTATTTATATAACTTTGATAAGACCCAGTTATTCCTTCATGCAGTTCTAAATTAATTCCACTTTAATGGGTACTTTAACCACTGCTTCAAGTCCATGTTGAGCAGCCTGCCCTACTTTGCCAACACCTGCTGAATGTTTCAGAGTGTGGTATTCAAAGAGTATCTCAGTTTGCCAAGAGAATCATTGGTGGTAATGAGGCCAGGTTTGGAGAGTTTCCCTGGCAGGCACACATTCGCATCTCGGGTTATCAGTGTGGAGGCGTCCTCATCAATCACTACTTTGTTGCTACAGCTGCACACTGTGTACATAAGTAAGTCTTTTATTGTACGTTTAACACAGTATTTACTGTGGCTTACTTGCTGCTTAAGATACACATCTGCCTTGAGTGTTAACTGTAATGCTAAACTTAACAATGATTAAAGTGCAAGGATCAGGGATGGAATCCAACTTTCTTCACCCTTCAGGGAGTTGCCTTGATGTTAGTGAAGGGCTCTTGAACCAAGGAATTGGAGCTACCCTTCCTTTCTTCAGATCAAATCTGATTACCTGTAATCTTCTGAGTGCTGCATGACCTTGGCATGTGTTTTGCTAATTGAAAGATAAACCAAAGTTGCATAGTTCCAGGAACTTCACAAAATACCTGAAAAGTCAAATAAAAAAGGATGAGTGTATGCATTTACTAGTGCTAGATGATATTCAGATGGGTAATATTATCTGGTAACCATTGCTAGTGAGAAGAAAAAGATATTCTTCAGACTGATAATTCCAAAAGGCTGTTAACCTAGGATAACTCAGAAGTCAAGCAATGGGACTTATTGCTATTGGGATTCTCCAGCCCTCTTCCCTAGGATAGCTGACTAACACTCAGGTGGCTATTTGCTGCTAGTTGAACATGGGCAGCAGGTGTAATAGGACTTGACCTTACATCTCTGCCTGCCTAAGAATGAAGACTGAGTCCTTTGGGGTATGAGTGAATTTTAATCATTGAGCTACTGCTGGGAACCATTCCTGGTAAAGTTTACATTTGATTAATATAAACCTAACCATTAAAACAATTATAGATAATAGCTATACTGTATTTCTTTGCTCTAGAGCCCGACTGAACCAGATCACTGTCCATCTGGGCGAATTTGATACCAAAGATACGGGCGAGTACGATGAACCCTTCCCCAAGGAAACCTTTGCAGTCTTAGAGAAGAGAATACACCCGAGCTTCAAATATATGTTGACTCAACCTGACAGGTTGGTTATATGTACAACCAATTTTTTTCTTTTTACCCTTGAATTTGATTTTTTTTATTGAATCTAAAAAAAGTTATAGCTCTTGAATACAGTAATCACAAAGCCCAATATGCATTTATAGTTTCAAAAACTTTGATTTAAGAAATGTGCTCTTTTTATCATTTTTGTTTTTAATATTTAAATACTGCAAAAATTATTTATAAAGTGTTCATACACATTGTATGTACAATACAGTAGCTGATAATGGTGGTAATAATCTCATCTTGTGTTTTGTTATCAGATTACATTCACACAGAATTAGTGTACAGTATATTAAAGTTAGCAGACACTACCTATAGATCCTCAGTTTGAACATAATTCTTATCCAAGACACTTTATTTTTTTTTTACCTTGACATTGGTGTTTAATATTGTGTAATTAGTTATGTATGTATGTATCACAGATCTTTTTAATATCCACTATGCTGTACTTCTCTAAATTCAACTCTCTAAGTAAGACTAACTTCACAGCTACAAAGCCCTGAAGAGAAGGCTGTAGATATTGGCCTCTAACAAGAGAGCTTGATTTAGAGACTGAAATATAGAGCATCCTCTTATTTAGTGAGTTTGAATCAAGTCTAGAGGGATATTTCATGTCATCATTAGCTTCATTCTCCTATGTGAGGGTATTTGTGTGTTTTTCAGTCATTGATTAAATATTCATCATTTTAACCAAATTGCCCAAAACCTCAGTATTTCATGTTAAGTGAAAAACATTGATGGTCAGTAATATTTTTATTTTTATAGCATTATATTACATTATCATTACATACAAAATAATATCAATGATTATACACATTACTAAATACATGTAGTTATATATTTGCATATACATTTTTAATGGCTTTGTACTGTATAAATGTACTCAATACACTATATTACATGTTCCTCACACATTACAATAAAAATTTCATTAACAGATTTGACATTGCTGTACTACGCTTGAATCGTCCAGTTATTTACAGAGACAATATTTTACCTATTTGCCTTCCGGATCCCAGTGATGATTTTATTGGTGAAGTCGGCATCGTAGCTGGCTGGGGCAAGACTGACAACTCATTTGGTGAGTGGCAGAGTTTTGGTTGCACTAATAAGCACATTACAGGTATGAAAATAGCAGTTTGGATGGATATCACCCAAACTGTGATGTCAACATACTTCTAAAAAGACAGTGAATGAATGAATTATGGTGAATGTGTTTTTTTTTTTTTAAGGTCATCCTACCTCAGTGGGAAATGGCTGGGTGTTGCAAAAAAATGCACTACTGTATACTTTATATACAATACAACATCTATCCTTCTAGGATAGATATTCATATTAGAATTCTAATATGCATTCCTCCTCCTTCAAGAGAGTGCCTTCATGCTGGTGAAGGACTCTTTACCCAAAGAATAGCAGCTACCCTCCCCTTCCTTGGCTCAGACTTGACTTCCTCCCATTTCCTAGGTGCTGTGTAAACATAACTGCAACAGGATAAGCAAGAGTCCCTTCATTGAAGTGACATCCTTGATGACATAACATGTAGGATACTGCACTTGTCTCTCTAATACATACATTATTTTGCCTTATATTTTAAAATTTGTCTGTTTATTAAGTTAATTTTTTGTCCATTGACTTATTTCTATTTTCAAGTTATAAATCACGGAATGGATGGGGCTTGAACCCTTGATCAGTTTTTTGTGCACTGGCCTGGAGTTTTAAAGCTCACTCACCACGGCTTCAATTATTCTTATAATCATGGGGGAGCGCTAAACCCATAGGATTATATAGCTCATGTGAAGGATGAAAGGTATTCAGGCTTAATTCAGGGAGCTGGAGCACAGATCCAATTCCCTAGATCAAAAGCCCCTCAACAGCATCAAGGAACCTCCCTTGAGAGGTCCATGGCTTCAAACCTCACCCATTCCGTGGTTTGTTTGCAATTGTGCTATTACAATTTCATGATTCAAGTCATGTATAAATTTAAAGATCAAAGTCTAATTAATGATCAAGATATTTATTTTTTCCTTCCAGGAAAAACGGGTACCAATATATTAAGAAAGGTGATGGTTCCCATCATCAGCAATGAGGAATGTCTCCGCTGGCACCACCACAAGGGCATAGATGTCAAGCTCCACTTTGAAATGTTCTGTGCAGGCCACTCTCAGGGCAAGATGGATGCTTGTCTAGTAAGTTAAAGACTGCATGATTAATGCCTGCCATAGTGTTGATGCTGCACTGATAAGGGCAAAAGTGTTTATCAAAGTGCCTTATCATTACCTGTATAGAGTACTGTGGGGGTAAAACAGAGCAGAGATGCATTATATAATGCCCAAGAACTCCAGAACAAGCAACTCTGCATCGACATCAACTCATACACCTTGGCCCAATTGAGCCCTTGATTATTATTGTTATACTACATACATGGGGAAGCATTAAACTCCTTATTCCTTAGATGTCATAAAGCACTTTGGATAAAGGGAGGTAATCAGGTTTGATCCAAGAAATAAAAGGAAGAGTTCAAATCCTTAGAAAAAAAAAAGTCCCCTCACCAGCATCAAGGAAGAAATATCTCTTGAAATGTTCCATCACTGATGCTTTACTTTAAACACTTTCGGTGTCTGTCCCATTGTACTACAGTTTTGAAGCCAGGGTCAGTTCTGTTGTATTATGCCACAAGCTCAGCTCACTTAGATAAGCTGTGAGCAGTAAACCCCTCACAGGAGGTTCCTTGACTCTGGTGAGGGGCTCTTGATCTACAGAAATGGATCTGTGCTCCGGTTCCCTGAATTGACCCTGAATATCTTCCATTCCTCCCCCACATGTGTTGTATAATCCTACAGGTTTAGTGCCAACTCCATGATTATAATAATTATATAATGTGAGAAGTAAATTTGGACTATGTGGTAAGTGTGAACCATATAAAAAAAGTCCTGAAGTATTCAGTACATGAGAAAAAACTGCGACCATGTTTTTGGTTTAAAACCAACTTTTTGGTGTATTTTTTTGGTGTATTTTTGTGTTTTATTATGTATTCTCAGTTTCTTGTCTCATTTGATAGAATGGAAGATATCCTGAAACCAATTAAAATTGGTTTCAGGACTGAAGTAGCTTGAAATTGAGCTCAGATTAGCAGAACTGTTTGAGTTTTGCTGATATTCTAGAGTGCACATGTCCAGTATGCATCAAATTGGCCAGTCTAATATGCATTTAGAAATGCACTCATTATTTACAGCCTTTCCTCACTTAATGATGGAGTTCCATTCCTAAGACCACGTCGATAAAGGAATTCGTTGCTAAACAAGGAGCATACTATAATGGTAGTGGATTTGTGTCAACCATCTTTGATATTGTTTTAATGTCACCTTTCCACCATTTATAACATTTTTAGTATAGTAGGGCCCCACTTTAGAGCATTTTGCCTTACGGCATTCCACTAATACAGACATCTCAAATTATGACCAAAACTCTCTTTTCGGCTCCCCCATCTGGCTTTCTAATACAGTCACCATGGGCCACCCGGTTTGTTTATATTCTCTGTGAGCATGATTCTCCATTATGTCTGGAAACTTTTCCATAATTTCAAGTGTTTTAAAGTTATTTCATATTTTATATATACTCTGATAATTATAATTATCCTAGGTAGTAGGTTGGTAGACAGCAACTGCCCAGGGAGGTACTACCGTCCTGCCAAATGAGTGTAAAACAAAAGCCTGTAATTGTTTTACATGATGGTAGGATTGCTGGTGTCTTTTGTCTGTCTCATTAACATGCAAGATTTCAGGTATGTCTTGCTACTTCTACTTACACTTAGGTCACACTACACATACATGTACAAGCATATATATACACACCCCTCTGGGTTTTCTTCTATTTTTTTACTAGTTCTTGTTCTTGTTTATTTCCTCTTATCTCCATGGGGAATTGGAACAGAATTCTTCCTCCGTAAGCTATGCATGTTGTAAGAGGCGACTAAAATGCCAGGAGCAAGGGGCTAGTAACCCCTTCTCCTGTATATATTACTAAATGTAAAAGGAGAAACTTTCATTTTTCCATTTGGGCCACCCTGCTTCGGTGGGATATGGCCACCAGGCCACGGTGCCCCGTGGCCTTGTGGCTAAAGCTCTCACTTCACATGGTGAGTGTCCGGGTTCAATTCCCGGCAAGGGTAGAAACATTGGACGTGTTTCCTTACACTGGTTGTCTATGTTCCCCATCAGTAAAATGAGTACCTGGGTGTTAATCGACTAGTGTAGGTTGCATCCTGGGACATAACTGACCTAATTTGCCCGAAATGCTCTGCATAACAAGCAGATTCTATACAGTAATATGTTATTGATGTCAGCTAGACCTGTATACCTTGTACATGTACTTATAAAGATATTATATTATTATTATTATTATAATAATAACAACACACAATAATCACTCTGAGGTGCATTAAATGTTGAATATTACATTAATATAGACATTTTAATTAATCCATCTATAATATATTTTTCAAAATTATGTAATAAACACACTACATAACATATAAACATGATAAATTACACCCACAGTAGAATAAATATATGTTTTTCCGGTCATAATGTCAGAAAGAATAACATTTTCTTTAGCACAACACCAAATACCCGGAGTATACCTGGAGAGAGTTCCAGGGGTCAACACCCCCTGCTGCCTGGTCTATGACCAGGCCTCATGGTGGACCAGGGCCTGATCAACCAAGCTGTTACTGTTAGCCGCATGCAGTTCAATGTACGACCCACAGCCTGGCTGGTCAGGTACTGACTTTAGGTGTCTGTCCAGTGCCTGCTTGAAGACAGCCAGGGGTCTATTGGTAATCCCCCTTATGTATGCTGGGAGGCAGTTGAACAGTCTTGGGCCCTTCACACTTATTGTGTTGTCTCTTATCGTGCTAGTGGCACCCCTGCTTTTCATTGGGGGGACGTTGCATCGTCTGTCGAGTCTTTTGCTTTCCAGGCGGTAGCCTGGAACCTAACCTGCTGTATAAGTGGGGCCCTACTGTATATTTTTAAATGTTTATACAGTAGTGTACTGTATATTGTAATAAACAGAATAGAGGAAATCAGCTCTAACATACAATATTTAGGTATGCACATTGGTCAGAGAGCCTGTCGTAAGTCCGAGTCATCGGTAAATGAGTACATCGCCAAGTGAGGAGAGACTATATACAATTATTACAATAATGCAGTAGTCTGCATAACATAAATCTTCTATTTTGTGTGAATAAAAATTAAAACTGGAAAGCAAGCATAATATAAGAGGGGCTGGAGACGTGACTAAGGAACAGAGGAAATTTGTATATAAATCTTCACATTATGTCCTTTTATTGTATTGATAAAGCCACTGGTTGGCAAAATGTCTACAAATAAAGATACCCAGATGTTGCACATGTGTCTGATTCTTCATTTTGTCGGTATTGTATACCATTTATGTATAAAAAAAATTTTCCACAGGGTGACTCGGGGGGACCTCTGGTTATCCACAAGAATGAGAGGTGGGTTCTGGCAGGCATCACATCAGCTGGGTTCGGGTGTGCAGTGGATCATCAGCCGGGGATCTATCATAAAGTTTCAATCACTTCAAGCTGGGTAATATCAAGTGTTAAAACTTGATTACGTATGTACAGTTTAGTACGATAATATTATTATAATTGTATATTTTTGTGCATTAGGTAAAAAAAGTACAGTATTTGATTTCGTCACATTTGTTTCCTAAAGACCTGCCGAGATCTTGATTATTTAGCTGTACAGGCAATTTAATTTATATGTACATTACTGGCCACTTTTATGATCTTTAGGGTTTGCTTAAAAAATAAGGTTACACCTAGTTTCCAACAAATTGGCATATAATAAAATAATTATTAAAAATATTTCTAAACAGTATTTTCCAAATTAACTACAGCTACCTAAATTTTAAAAGCAGTAACTTCATTCTTGGTATTGTAGCCAGTGTTAAAGATGTTCCATTTTAACACTGAAAAGAAATCATTTTTAAAAACATTCAACTATACAATACAAATACAGTACAGAAGATGTATTATTGATTGGTAACTATATTAATCATTATTATTATATTGTTTATTCCACTTTCATGGAAGAACTAGTCAACATTAGCAACTGATGAAAAATTTTGCAAGAGAAAATTTGACTAAAACTTCAATACAGCCTCTCCTCACTTAGCGACGTACTCGTTTACTTATGACTCAGACTTATGATGGGCTCTCTGACCAGCATGCATACCTAAAAAATGTATATTAGAGCTGATTTCCTCTATCTGTTTATTGCAGTATACAGTACACTACTGTATAAACATTTAAAAATATACTAAAAATGTTATAAATGGTACAAAGGTGACATTAAAACAATATCAAAGATGGTTGATACAAATTCACTACCATTATAGTTAGTATGCTCCTCACTTAGCAATGAATTCGTTTACTGACGTGGTCTTAGGAACGGAACTCCGTTGTTAAGTGAGGAGAGGCTGTACTTGAATTCTGTTGCGTGTGGAAAAGGAATTCCATGTACAAGAAGCTATTAAAAAGTTAATTGACAAAAGCCTTTATAAAAATGTCAAATACTTTATCTAAAGGTTTTTAAATTATGATTATTGGCCAACATTATTATTATTATTATGTTCAAGGGAAAGTGCTAAACCAATGAAACTCATACAATACCTGCAATTCAGGCAATCAGTTTGATCTAAGGAAGGGGAAGGTAGCTTTAGTTGAAAGAAATTGACACCTTTATTGAAAAAGTTTTGGTCCTTAGATCTTGATCACTTCAAATATTTCGAGATGCATGAGAGGTGACAGGCCATAATAGGGGTAGGAGATAGTACCAGTAGTAGTATTGGTGATGGTACAGTATTAATAATAAATGGTACTAGTAATATAGTGAAAGAATGCCAGGAGTGTAGAAGGGTTTATCCTATAGCTCTGTCAAGTGGCAGTCTCATGGAAATAAGTTAAGTTTTAATGTCACGTGGGTTGTGTTGTAAAAACATTATAACTACCAGCTTTTTAAACAGCGGTGCTGGAGGTAGTGAATAGTGAAGCTTCCAGACACCCTCACCACCTTAAATCTGCTTCCCAATAGATCATTTTAGCATCTTGCCAATACATGAGATGTCCATCGGTATTTCTAACTATGACAAGCATTGCTGTTGTCATCTCTGCTGCAGGAAGTTTTTGTTCATAAATTCTCATGGATAAGTCTCTTCCTAGTTGTTCACGTCATCTTTTCACACTTCCTATGGGATGGTGTATACTCTTATTTATTTACAGGAAGCATTAAATGAAGACTTTTTCTTGGTAAGGTCACCAATTGAAGCAGTGGTAATAATGGAGACTGAATGTTACTTTTGGCAAGAGCTTGTGTAACTGCATCACTGCAAGGTAATATTATAAATTTTTGGTTACCTGTGGCAGTTAGTGGATTGTATAGAATGGTTTGAACTCTGCACCTGCAGTCCTGGATAAAATGAGAAGGAAAGTGAAGAAAAGTAAATGTGTGTATAATGTATGCACCTTCTTCCAAGAAAAAATCTCATTTAATGTTCCCTCTATGGAAATAGGAGTATATACCATCACCTGTGGATAGTGTGAAAAGGTGATGTAGGGGAAAACAAGGAGAGACTTGTCTACAAGAATTTACGAATCTAAAATCTCCAGCAGCAGGGATGACACCAGCAACGCTTGTCATAATTAGAAACACGAAGAGATATCTTGTGTGTTGGCAAGATGCTAAAATAATCTGCTGGGAACCCGAGTTATGATGATGAAGTTGCCTAGAAGCTTCACTCATCGCCATCTTCAGCACCCACATTAGAACATGTTGCCATGAAACTGCCATGCAATACAGTCATAAGACCTTCTCCACATCCAGTGTGCTCTTCACAGTATCTGCCAGTGGCAGCAACAGTGAAGGCCACTACCAGTGCCACTCTCTCCTGCCCCTTTTATAACACCGTGTCCTCTTCTCCTCATGGATTTAAAGTTATCATGGTCCAAGAACCAAAACTTCTTCAATAAGTATCATAAGTGAATGCATTTCCCTCAAGTTGCTGGCAATTATTTGCTACATAACTTAGCTCTAATTCCTTGAATCAAGTGCCTTTAGCAACATCAATGCACCCTCCTAGAAGGGTACTGGCTAAAAGTTATCAGTGCTGTTTTCCAGGCCACAAAGTTTTAAGAAATTCTTATACTGTCTATTCAAAGTGACCTTTCATATTGTTTAAATCTATCATGATGAATCTTGCATTTGACATAACTCTTATAAGGGTATGTTTTTTTAATTATCAGTTAATAATAACTAAATTAGATTGCCCCACAATATTAAACAATAAACAGCAGTGAAAACAGAAGAGTATTGACAGATGATGTGTATACTTAAACCTGCCAGATTACTGACAGATGTGTATACCTGAACCTGCTACATTATTGAAATGTATACTTGAACCTACTACATTATTGACATGTATACCTGAACCTGCTACATTATTGAAATGTATACTTGAACCTGCTACATTTTTGACATGTATGCTTGAACCTGCTCGATCATTTACCTGTATCAGGTAAATGTTTTCCCTAACAATGCTTGAGTTACAGGTAAAAGTTGCATTCAGTGAACATGAGAGTGCTCCTGAAATGCAGCAAAACCTCGATTTAACAGACCCCAATTTAATGCATTAAAGTGGACAAAACCTCTAGCCAGACAATGTCTGGAAAAACTGATGAAGTCTATTATATCCAAAATTCTATTATTGCCACAGCCTGCTGGGCCACTTTATTTTGCATTTATTACTACTGAGAACAAAACATCAATCATTCAAATTTAACTAAAACTTAACATTAACTGACACCCCCCTCCTATTAGTCCATTATTATTATTATCAAAACCAAACACTAAACTATTAGTCCATTAAATCAAGGTTTCAGCTAATTACAAAAATTACATCAAATTGTACTATGTAATTGTTTCACAGCTGTGATAGTGCCTTGTTAATATTATTTTGGTTTCTTTTAATAACTGACCTGTGAATTATCTTCACTTAGAATAATTTGAATATTTTAATTTAAATATTTAATTATTTTTGTAGTCCCTCAAAAGGGATTGCTTAAGGTTGGTGAGGGGTTCTTGATCCTAGGAGATGGACTTGTCATTCCCTTCCTTGGATCAAACTTGATTGCCTCCCATTTCCCAGGTATTATTTGACCCCTATTGGTTTAATGCTTGTCGCTAAATATAATAATAAAAAATATAGTGAAAAATAATTAAAAGTTCAACTGAGAGAATAGAAATTGATTCCTGTAGTCTATTATAATATGCAGGCCTTTCCTAGTATTTATAATAATAATTATTATATTCAAGGGGAAGTGCTAAACTAGGCCTCATACAGCACCTAGGAATGGGAGATACAGTGGACCCCCGCATAACGATTACCTCCGAATGCGACCAATTATGTAAGTGTATTTATGTAAGTGCGTTTGTATGTGTATGTTTGGGGGTCTGAAATGGACTAATCTACTTCACAATATTCCTTATGGGAATAAATTCGGTCAGTACTGGCACCTGAACATACTTATGGAGTGAAAAAATATCGTTAACCGGGGGTCCACTGTAATTAGGTTTACTACGAAGAAGTGGAGAGCAACTGATTCTTTGGATCAAGAGTAGAGCTTTTCCATGAATAATAAAAAAAATTGAATCAAGAGCCCTTCACCATGAAAGTTGACCAAGATTGTTTTTAATATGGAATAATTTAATCTTTCAAGTGCTGGAGTATACCATAATGTAAGAGCAGTTACCTCAGTATGTAGTGTACATAATTGTAATGTTTCTTATAGTGTGCTCCAGTTAAAATATTTTCAGCATTGCATTTCACTGACATTATGCTAATTTGACATTCCCTGTTCTGTATAACTTGAATAAGTGTTCATTAACCCTTAAACTGTCCAAACAGATCTATGTTCACATGCGTAGTGCTCCAAAAGTAAATCTACATTTTTTTACATATTTTCAAATATAACAAAAAAAACGTAGATCAAAGTTTTTTTTACACGTTTTCAAATGTAAAAAACAAAAAGATCTACATTTTTTTACATACCTTCAAATGTTGAAAAAACGTAGATCTACGTTTGGACAGTTTAGGGGTTACAGTACTCTTTGGTATCTATGTAGAACATTTAGTTTTACAGGATTATACTGTACTGTATTTCATAACATTTTTTTGCCACATTCAGCCAGCCAACCCTTCCAATTTGGTATATATTCACCAAAGATCTACATTTAAAATAGAAATTGTATGATGACATTTCAGTCCACCCTGGATTTCTCAATAGTCAAATCACTCGACAGTGGCCCTGGAAGGACTGAAACCTTGTGATTACTATTATTCGAGTCAAACTAAGCACTAAACCCACAAGGGTTGAAACCTTGTCATTGATTCCTAAGTGTGGATTTTTGGTGAATTGTTCCAGCTATGGTATTGACATCATCTCATTCTGATACCAAAAAGGGGTTTAAAAAAGGCATGCAAGTAAACACTAGGAGACAGAAAATGTCCTAGTGTTTGCTTGCTTGCCTCTCTTAACCACCAACCCTTCAAAACATTTTTCTTATTCATATTACATGCTAGAGGATCTTGGAGGTAGTAGGTTGGTAGACAGCAACTGCCTGCCAAGTGAGTAATTGTTTTACATGATGGTAACGTTGCTTGCTGGTATCGTTTTTCTGTCTCGTAAACATACAAGGTTTCAGGTACATCTTGCTACTTCTACTTACACTTAGGTCACACTACACATACATGTACAAGCATATATATACACACCCCTCTGGGTTTTCTTCTATTTTCTTTCTAGTTCTTGTTTATTTCCTCTTATCTCCATGGGGAAGTGGAACAGAATTCTTCCCCCATAAGCCATGCGTGTCATAGGCGGCGACTAAACTGCTGGGAGCAAGGGGCTAGTAATCCCTTCTCCTGTATACATTACTAAAGTTAAAAAGAGAAACTTGTTTTTCTTTTTGGGCCACCCTGTCTCAGTGGGATGCAGCCGGTATATTGAAAGAAATAAGTTAGATGATCTAAGTCAGTGTTTCTGGATTACTGTAATGGTTCTTCACTCCATATTGTTTTATTCTCTTGATCTCATCTCCAATTTTTACATCCTTGTTTCATTTGTGTGTATAAACATAGGTGCTCCTCGACCTACAATGGGGTTACATTCTGACAAACCCATTCTAAGTTGTAAATATCGTTAATCAGATATGAATATATGCAAGATAACTAACTACTGTCACTGAATAATTAAATAAACAAATAATTACTGCAACTAAATACCAGTATTGAAAAGTAAATATGTAAATACAAATTATGGACTTGCTGCCTTCTTGCTGGGAATTATTTTAAGTAATTGCTTTGCACCATCATAACGTCAAAATATCATAAGTTGAACCAGCGTAAGTCGAAAGCACCTATACATTGTTTTTCATTTTTGTAAAATGAATGTTTTTCAAGGGGGGGGGGGTTGCCTTGATGCCCATGAAGAGTTCTTGATCCAAAGAATTAGAATTACCTTCCCTTTCCTTGGATCGAATCTGATTGCCTCTCATTCCCCTGGCACGGTATGACCTCTATGGATTTATCACTCTCCATGAATGCAATAATAATAAACAAATCAGCTACCTTGGTTACTAACATCTATGGTATTGTTTCTGTCTAGATTTTTGTAATCCTTGGGTGCTTAAGAGTATATATATATATATTGGTATATATATATTCATGAACACACTATGCATCTTCCCACCAAGGGAGGGTGATACAAAATACATTAACCATCAGCTTATGTTGCTGTTTCCAGAACTGCATGAACATCACATTTCAAATGATCTACCAAACTGTAACATCCCTATCTATTCTTCAGAGTGTAGGTACTGTATATCCCACCTCCAGAAATAGATACAACTTCATAGATATGATTTGCTTTCTCCATACTCCAACTGCACATCAAATTCCAAAACTCACTTTTATCCATTAATGCCAATTTAGCATGCTCACTCATGCCTGCTGGATGCTCTAGTTCCAACAAACTTAGCGCCAAGCAGGCATGCACGAGACTGAACATGCTAGACTGGAGAAATGCAGACAAATGGTTTTTGGGTTAAGTTGGTTAACCCAAGTTCTGGAGGTGGGAAGTACATTACCTACACTTTGAAGGACTGGTGGGGAGGTTGCAGATTGGTGGATCCTGTGAGTTATTACTTAACTGCCATTTAGTTTACATACATTGTACTTCTGCTGTCACATTTCTTTTGTTAGTTTATTTCTGCATTATAGCTTCATATTTTTTCATTCACCTTACCTGCTTCCCTTATAATCACCCTCATCAGATCCCCAGCAGGTGTTGTGTATTTCTTGATATACATATGTCAAATTTTTTGTGCAGCTCTAATTATGTTAATCCTTACTGTTTACTCATACTGTGTCTCCTCCAAGACTACTGATTATGCATGGAGTACAATATGATCACTTGTCGCAGAAACTGCAATGCAATGATTAATATCAATGACAGTAAACATCTTTAACCCTTAAACTGTCCAAACAGATCTATGTTCACATGTGTAGTGCTCCAAAAGTAGATCTATTTTTTTTTTTACATATTTTCAAATATAACAAAAAAAAGTGGATGAAAGTTTTTTTTACACGTTTTCAAATGTAAAAAAAAAAAAAAAAAAGATCTACGTTTTTTCACGTACTTTCAAATGTTGAGAAAACGTAGATCTACGTTTGGACAGTTTAAGGGTTAAATAAATAGTGCTGTAATTTATGCTGCATTTGTTTTCAAATATGGTGGTACCTTGAGTTTCGAACAGCTCCAAACTCGGTATTTTTGGGGGTCTGAAACTGACTAATTTAATTTACATTATTCCTTATGGGAACAAATTCGTTTGGTATCAGCACTCGAACAGCTTTCTGGAACGAATTAAGTTCGTAACTTGAGGTACCACTGTATACAGTATTTTGAGCATATGTACACATAATACTATAACTGTTTTTCATACAAAATTTATTACATATGCATGACAAAATTCCTTTGCATTCTTCACAAGAGTTGTAAAGTATCAAGTGGAATATCATCTCTACAGTTTTAGCAAGAATATCATGTACAGTATATGTAAAAAATATCCAAATTTTACAGGCAGATTCTGAGCAGCTTTAGCTAATACAAAAAATGCAGGGATTGAGTGAGGACATAATCTGTTATATACAATCTTTGAAGTCAACATTTTCTAATCCTTGAGTGTATTGTCCAAACATGTACATAATATTTATTTTTATAAAATCTAGAACAATGTTAAGATGCTGTTTCTTTTTCCCCTTTTGATAGTGTATAGTTTGAAAAAGCGCTGCTATACAGCAAGACCGATGAAAATAGAAAATCACTTAAATTGCAACTCTAATACATTATTAAATAGTAAACTGCAATCCCCACAGCTAATGGAGTGTCTGGCATATTGACAGTTACACTGACAACTTAGCTATTTACATCATTAACTTGGTTATATTAAATTTAATGGTTATCCATAGTGATTAAAGATACTACTGGGGGTAACTCCTAAGGAGCCACATTGTAGAACAATAATTAGTGTGTTGAGCTCAAATCTGAGGACATGAGGTTAAGCACTACAATGAGGCGAGTCACGCCTGGCGGGTGTTCCAGGGATCAACGCCCCATGGCCCAGTCCAAGTTTCCTAATGCCTACTATCCCCTTTACCTAGCAGTAAAGACACCTGTGAATTTAACGGACTGTTGTCAGTTGAATCCCGCACTGGGACCTAATAAAACCAATGGAAATAAGCCTTCAGGCTTAGTAATCTAAGAATATAATTATTCTTCTTTCAATAAATGGCCGTATCCCAATGAGGTAGAGTGGCCCAAAAAGAAAACAAAAGTTTCTCTTTCTAACTTGAGTAATGTATACAGGAGAAGGGGTTACTAGCCCCTTGCTCCTGGCATGTTAGTTGCAAGAATATAATTATGGTTTACATTTTTTAAGATTATTAAAATATAGAAAAAATGCACATTGCCAAAACTCCTAACACATTCCATCTGTCAACAAAATATCTATGGAGTCCAACATGATGTCTAAAATAACAGCAAAAAGCACCTGGCAGTCAGAAAGGGAAATCACAAAACCCAAGTAGAAACTTTGCCTGGGGTGCAGTGAGGCCTGTGTCTGTGAATGAGGTGCAGGCCAGGTGAATTTCCCAGGAGTCTCCTGCAGCAGAAACTTCTTTACATTCAGTAGGATTTAGAGATTATGGCATTCTCATTAGCTGTCTATCATTCAATTATTAGAAAAAAAAAAAAGTAACAATATCTTGGTTGGAACATTTTACAACTAACCCACAATTTGAAGAGGAAATTTGACAATTCTTTGGTCCATCTTGTGCTGTGACTTGATAATGTTCCACAACAAACTAAAATGTTGTCTAAAGTTTTCTCTCTAAATTGTGGGCAGTTGTGAACAAATATCCTTAGGGAACATTGATGCTCAAGAATATATAAATCAGAAATCACATGAATATAGTGACAAACATTATGCAAGTCAATCTTCATCGCTACTCCATGCATCTTGAGTTACTTCATGTTTCACACGTTGTCTGGTATTTTTCTTCACTCGAGCTATTTTAACTGTTTCTTTATTTTCTTCATTTGAAAGACAACTTTTTAATAACTTCTTTGGGGTCCATGTTATAAAATTATGGTCAATGCCAAAGCTATACAAATCCATAGATACAGGATTATATACCACACCTAACACTGACAAAAAGTGACCCTGTAAAACATTTAACAGTCTTCCAGATAAAAGATCAAACACAAGAATTTCTTCCCGACATGGTATAAAGACTAGATCAGGATATGTACAATATGAGATTGCCATATGAATAGTTTTCTTAAGCTCTGTATACGCCTCTTCGTATTTTACTTCCATGTTATCTCCGGTAGTAGAATTCCAGAGTTTTAGATGGCCATCGTAGCCGAACGACAAAAGCCACATACCGTCATGCGTAAAGCAGAGAGAAGTTATGCAGCTTTTATGTGCTTGAGGGACGTTTTTACTTCTCTTCTTGAACTTGGTAGTTTTACAAAGAGAATTCTCCATATCCAGAGCCATGAGACATGCACGACCAGCACGCACATCCCACATCCTCACCGTTTGGTCCTTGCCACCCGACACCAAAATGTGCTGGTTACGTGGCGACCACTGTGTGATCTGAACTGGGCCCACGTGACCCTGAAGACGGTGGACTGATGACCCACTGCGCAAATCACAAAGGATCACTTCACCTGAAATATTACAAACTTAAGAATTCATCACATAAAATTATACAATAAGACGATTTTCAATGAAGGCAGTTAAATATATTTTATTGATGAGAAAAAGGTAGCTTATGAGAGGTTTTTACAAAGCAGAAGTGTTATAAGAAGAGCAGAGTATATGGAGAGTAAAAGAAAGGTGAAGAGAGTGGTGAGAGAGTGCAAAAGGAGAGCAGATGATAGAGTGGGAGAGGCACTGTCAAGAAATTTTAATGAAAATAAGAAAAAAATTTGGAGTGAGTTAAACAAGTTAAGAAAGCCTAGGGAAAGTATGGATTTGTCAGTTAAAAACAGAGTAGGGGAGTTAGTAGATGGGGAGATGGAGGTATTAGGCAGATGGATAGAATATTTTGAGGAACTTTTAAATGTTAAGGAAGAAAAAGAGGTGGTAATTTCATGCACTGGTCAGGGAGGTATACCATCTTTTAGGAGTGAAGAAGAGCAGAATGTAAGTGTGGGGGAGGTACGTGAGGCATTATGTAGAATGAAAGGGGATAAAGCAGCTGGAACTGATGGGATCATGACAGAAATGTTAAAAGCAGGGGGGGATATAGTGTTGGAGTGGTTTGTACTTTTGTTTAATAAATGTATGAAAAAGGGGAAGGTACCTAGGGATTGGCGGAGAGCATGTATAGTCCCTTTATATGAAGGGAAAGGGGACAAAAGAGATTGTAAAAATTATAGAGGAATAAGTTTACTGAGTATACCAGGAAAAGTGTACGGTAGGGTTATAATTGAAAGAATTAGAGGTAAGACAGAATGTAGGATTGCGGATGAGCAAGGAGGTTTCAGAGTGGGTAGGGGATGTGTAAATCAAGTGTTTACATTGAAGCATATATGTGAACAGTATTTAGATAAAGGTAGGGAAGTTTTTATTGCATTTATGGATTTAGAAAAGGCATATGATAGAGTGGATAGAGGAGCAATGTGGCAGATGTTGCAAGTATATGGAATAGGTGGTAAGTTATTAAATGCTGTAAAGAGTTTTTATGAGGATAGTGAGGCTCAGGTTAGGGTGTGTAGAAGAGAGGGAGACTACTTCCCGGTAAAAGTAGGTCTTAGACAGGGATGCGTAATGTCACCATGGTTGTTTAATATATTTATAGATGGGGTTGTAAAGGAAGTAAATGCTAGGGTGTTCGGAAGAGGGGTGGGATTAAATTATGGGGAATCAAATTCAAAATGGGAAGTGACACAGTTACTTTTTGCTGATGATACTGTGCTTATAGGAAATTCTAAAGAAAAATTGCAAAGGTTAGTGGATGAGTTTGGGAATGTGTGTAAAGATAGAAAGTTGAAAGTGAACATAGAAAAGAGTAAGGTGATGAGGGTATCAAATGATTTAGATAAAAACTGGATATCAAATTGGGGAGGAGGAGTATGGAAGAAGCGAATGTTTTCAGATGTACTTGGGAGTTGACGTGTCGGCGGATGGATTTATGAAGGATGAGGTTAATCATAGAACTAATGAGGGAAAAAAGGTGAGTGGTGCGTTGAGGTATATGTGGAGTCAAAAAACGTTATCTATGAAGGCAAAGAAGGGAATGTATGAAAGTATAGTAGTACCAACATTCTTATATGGGTGTGAAGCTTGGGTGGTAAATGCAGCAGCGAGGAGACGGTTGGAGGCAGTGGAGATGTCCTGTTTAAGGGCAATGTGTGGTGTAAATATTATGCAGAAAATTCGGAGTGTAGAAATTAGGAAAAGGTGTGGAGTTAATAAAAGTATTAGTCAGAGGGCAGAAGAGGGGTTGTTGAGGTGGTTTGGTCGTTTAGAGAGAATGGATCAAAGTAGAATGACATGGAAAGCATATAAATCTATAGGGGAAGGAAGGCGGGGTAGGGGTCGTCCTCGAAAGGGATGGAGAAAGGGGGTAAAGGTGGTTTTGTGGGCGAGGGGCTTGGACTTCCAGCAAGCGTGCGTGAGCGTGTTTGATAGTAGTGAATGGAGACGAATGGTACTTGGGACCTGACGATCTGTTGGAGTGTGAGCAGGGTAATATTTAGTGGAGGGATTCAGGGAAACCGGTTATTTTCATATAGTCGGACTTGAGTCCTGGAAATGGGAAGTACAATGCCTGCACTTTAAAGGAGGGGTTTGGGATATTGGCAGTTTGGAGGGATATGTTGTATATCTTAATATGTATATGCTTCTAAACTGTTGTATTCTGAGCACCTCTGCAAAAACAGTGATGATGTGTGAGTGTGGTGAAAGTGTTGAATGATGATGGAAGTATTTTCTTTTTGGGGATTTTCTTTCTTTTTTGGGTCACCCTGCCTCGGTGGGAGACGGCCGACTTGTTGGAAAAAAAAAAAAGTGTATAACTTTTTTTATTTTACCACACTTGCAGTCTCCCACCAAGGCAGGTGGCCATCATTCACACTTTTCACTATCTTGCCAGAGGCATGCAGATACAACAGTTTAGATGTCACTCTCAACAACAAATATCATAAACCTTTCCTTTAGAGTGCAGGCACTCTACTTTTCACCTCCAGGACTCTTTAAGTCCAGCTATGACATGTTTACCTATTTTTCTTACTGACAAGGGCCAGTAAGGGTAAAAATGCTTACTCTTATTGAAGGGCTGAATAGTACATCATTAACCTATTCTCTGGCCTGCAGTTATTACATTTGACAAAGGAAATATTAATGATTCTCAAACAGTACAAGTATTTATATTTGAAAGCTATTCCTTAGGTGGTTCAGTGCTTTCTCTGATTATAATAATAATAATATTCCTTAGGTAAGATATACCATATATTCAATAGGAAATGCTAAACCTGTAAGAATCATGCATAACCTGGAGAATGGGAGAGATAGAGGATGTTCAGATCTGATCTGAGGAAGGAGAGGATAGCTCTGATTCCTTGGATCAAGAATCTTACACCAGCTTCACTGAAGAGTGTTCAGGCAAGGATGCTCACCACAACCAGTTTCAAATGCAGGCTGAGAACGTACCACTATCTCCTGAGACAGACAGCAAAGAATGCTTGGTGGCGACTGGTGACATACAGTGGTGAAGGATGTGGCACTCAATCCTGTACTGGTCAACTGTCTTCATGTGATTAGGGTCCCAGATCTTAACCTTCTTGTCACGACTCGAGGTGATAAACAACCCTGCATCTGCTGGATACCATTGAACACAGTCAACCTGAAATAATGTGTTAACCCTTTCAGGGTCCGTCCCGTAGATCTACGGCTTTACGTTCAGGGTCCAAACTGTGAATCTACGCCATGAGCTCAGCTCACTCTGATAAACTGTGAGTGGTACATTTGGGCCTAGATATGAGAGAATACATCTATGTGGTATGTGTGCACCACATAAAACAGATCCTGCAGCACACTGTGTATAATGAGAGAAAAAAAATGAAATCATGATTTTTCGATTAAAACAGCAACTTTGCAGTGTTTTTTCGTATGTTTTTTATAGTTGTATTTGCGATTTCTTGGTCTCATTTGATAGAATGGAAGACATATTACAGAAATAGAGATGATTTTGATTGGTTTTAACACTGGAAATGGCTTGAAACTGAGCTCAAAGTAGCAGAAATGTTAAATTTTTGCCGATATTCAAGAGTAAACAAACAACCTCACACGTCTAATACAGATCAGCTGGTGGGTCTAATATACATTCACAAATATGGTGATGATATTTACACAATTATTACAGTATTGCATAACAGTAAATCTTCTATTTTTTGGTGTGAATAAAAATTTATTATGTGAATAAAAAATCAAAATGGAATTTATTTGTAAAGCCTCAAAACATAACTAATGAACAGAGGAAATGTTAGTTTAGTGCCAGGAATGCCTACATTGTTCATTCTGGACCCTATTTTGAAATTGGAATATTTTGAACTTTGTGTTAAATTGGCCAAATTAACAATTTCCGATCACTTTATTTTGTAGTTGAAACAGTTGACTTGGCGATTTCTTGTGTTCAATCGATAGAACAGAAGTAATACTAGTGAAATGGCTAAGAATTTGGTTGACTGGAATAATGTAATTGGCCTAAAATGGGAGTCAAAGTCGGCAAAATCGCCGATTCGTAAATATCGCTGACACATCAAAATTCACGAGAGCATAATTTCGTCAATTTTCCACCAAATTTCGTACTTTTTGTTTTATTACCTTCACAAAAAGATTCTCTACGATTTCATAAGAAAAAATAACCAATTTTTTTTTTTTGAAAATTCTTGGACACTGGTGCGTGACTCCAGATTTGGGCCTTGGACCCTGAAAGGGTTAAATAACTTAATTTATTTTAAAAGAAAGTCAAAAATTAATTTAAATACAATGTATTGTAATTATGAGGAATAAATTTTTGTATGTCAGTCGCTGGTCATTTTTACATCTAATGGTTTCAAGGACTCAACATTAAACAAAAAAAATCTAAATAATTAGCACATTAATTTAGCTATCAACTGATGATTATGTTTGTGGGAAGCACTAAACCCAAGGGGTCTTACAACACCTGCAGAATGGAAGATAATCAAGCTTGATCCAAGGAAGAGGTGAGCAGCTCCATTTTCTTATATCAAGATCCCTTTGCTAGTACCCTTGAAGGGTACAGTGAAGGGTACTATTACTGTACATATCACACTAAGTTATCCAAATTAGAATAAGTGATAAAAAGTAATGTACATAAAAAACCAAAAGGGTGAAGGGTGAATAAACAAATTAATTTTGCACAAGAAAAATAGAGGCTTATTCAGCTACAGCTCTATGACCCTTATGGGTATAGCACTTAGTTTTGAGTGTAATAATTATTCAGATACACAAATACAATCATAATCAGAGATTTCCTCATACTAGAGAAAGACACACTACAGCTTGTCTTCTAAACAGCTGATATTATAAATAAAACTACACGAAATCACTGATAACCACTGAGTCAAGTCTTCATTTTATCTTAGTAACTTTTGGAACTTGGGAATCAAGTAAAGCCACAATAAGCCTTATAAAGCCTTATATAGCTTGAATATTAATGTGAGCTAAAATAAATCTGAAAGTGGAAAGGATGCAAAAATGAGTGGTGGCCTACACAGCAGTTCTTCCAAGTATTTTTTTCTTTTAACACACTGGCCATCTCCCACCCAGGAAGGGTGACCCAGAAAAAATGCCTTCACCATCATTCACACTATCACTGTTTTGTCAGAGGCACACAGATCCGACAGTTTAAATATCCCTCTAAACAGTAAATATCAAGTATCACAGCAATTACAACAGTATCCATAATTTGTTGCAAGTCGTACGCTATAATTCAAAGTAAAACTTTAACAAAAGGGGAAATTTCCCTGTTAATGACTAAAGAGTTTTTAGTCATTTATTGAGGATGCTCTAGCTCCACTGCCATGATAAACTGACCAAACATCAGGGAGATTAAGGTCTGAGGAAAGGCTTAAAGGCAATTAAAATATCTGAGTAAAATTTAATATGTGGGTGCCCCAACAAGGAAATTCTCATAAGAAACAAGGTGTCAAAGATACAGAAAATTTACAGATCTGCAGAGTTTATAAACACAAAAGTGAAAGATAAGGTAACCAGTCCCTCAGGTCTTCACTGTTCGTTATACAGTACAATAAGATAAAATAAGATATTTTATTTCAGCATGATACAATATTTGTATAGAGGTGAATGACATTTAGGTGTGCATGCAGAAAGCCCCTTAATATGCAAAGCATTTTGGGAAAACTTAAGACTAACTTTAGATTAATAAGGCAATGACAAATTGAGTGATTCTATATAGTCTCTTAGGTGATGGTAAATATAAATTTAAGAACATAAGAACATAGTAGTAGGTTGGTAGACAGCAACCACCCAGGGAGGTACTACCGTCCTACCAAATGAGTGTAAAATGAAAGCCTGTAATTGTTTTACATGATGGTAGGATTGCTGGTGTCTTTTGTCTGTCTCATAAGTATGCAAGATTACAGGTATGTCTTCCTACTTCTATTTACACTTAGGTCACACTACACATTTATTTATACACACTCATCTGAGTTTTCATTGATTTTATCTTAGTTCTTGTTCTAATTACTTTTCCTTTTATATCCATGGGGAAGTGGAATAAGAATCTTTCCTCTAAAGCCATGCGTGTGTGTAAAATCGATAAAAGCGCGGAATGAGAAGAGAGTAACGCCCTTATCCGTAATAATTTGAAAATTGATGAAGATGGGGAAGTTAAAATTGCAAAGTGGGGAAGTCATTGTGGTGTGGATTTTGTGTGGTAAATGTGGAATAAGGTAAATGGTGCTTGTGGAGTTTATTGAATGAGAAAAGCTGGTAGGTCATACTAATGAAAAAAGGTCTAAAGGTGGATGAGAGTAGTTTGTTAGTTATGTAGAGGATAAAGGTATTAGGTCAGGATGTCAATGTTAGAGGCAATGAATATGTTGATCATATAGTTGTAGTGAATTGAGACATATGCAGATATGGGAACTTATTAAGGAAACTTCGCCAACGGGGCTTATGTCAATACAAATAGAAGCGTAAGGAGGAGAAGAATGAGGTTACAGTCAACTACATCACTGGACGAACACACGACTCGTTAGGGACTGATTATCATTTTAGCCTTCTCTTTGATGTTGATGAAGCCACTGGGGAGTTTCTGATCCAAAGATTCCTTGTGCTAGTTCTCATCTCAACTTGTCGGTTTTAAACATTCTTGACAACTGTCAGACCGGCAGCAATCATGGGTGCCTTGTTAAAAATCAAAATGGGGAGCCTATTGACTAGTGGATGGTACAAACGTATGTTCGTAATAAGTATATACACGTACTTTTATGAAAAAGATGATGATAACAATACTAGGTTGAAGGCATGTAATGACTATTTTTTGTTCTTTGTATTGGTGATAAAAGTGTGTGGGAGAGTTTCCAGATTAATCATAGCTATAAGGGTCTCAATTTTATATTGTCTTTCAACATTAATCTAGTTGTAGCTACAGTTTGAGTAAGAGGTAGATGGGACAAGAGGAAAATGGCAACAACAAGTAAGAGGGAGGTGAAAGTGTATAAACTAAGGGAGGAAGAAGTTCGGGTGAGATATAAGTGACTATTGGCAGAAAGGTGGGCTGGTGCAAGTATGAGTAGTGGGGGGTTGAAGAGGGTTGGAATAGTTTTAAAAATGCAGTATTAGAATGTGGGGCAGAAGTTTGTGGTTATAGGAGGGTGGGTGCAGGAGGAAAGAGGAGTGATTGGTGGAATGATGAAGTAAAGGGTGTGATAAAAGAGAAAAAGGTAGCTTATGAGAGGTTTTCACAAAGCAGAAGTGTTATAAAAGAGTAGAGTACAGTGGACCCCCAGTTAACGATATTTTTTCACTCCAGAAGTATGTTCAGGTGCTCAGTACTGACCGAATTTGTTCCCATAAGGAATATTGTGAAGTAGATTAGTCCATTTCAGACCCCCAAACATACACGTACAAACGCACTTACATAAATACACTTACATAATTGGTCGCATTCGGAGGTGATCGTTATGCGGGGGTCCACTGTATATGGAGAGTAAAAGAAAGGTGAAGAGAGTGGTGAGAGGGTACAAAAGGAGAGTGGATGATAGAGTGGGAGAGGCACTGTCAAGAAATTTTAATGAAAATAAGAAAAAATTTTGGAGTGAGTTAAACAAGTTAAGAAAGCCTAGGGTATGAATGGATTTGTCAGTTAAAAATAGAGTAGGGGAGTTAGTAGATGGGGAGATGGAGGAATTGGGTAGATGGCAAGAATATTTTGAGGAGCTTTTAAATGTCGACAAAGAAAGGGAGGCGGTAATTTCATGCACTGGCCAGGGAGGTATACCATCTTTTAGGAGTGAAGAAGAGTAGGATGTGAGTGTGGGGGAGGTGTGTGAGGCATTACGTAGAATGAAAGGGGGTAAAGCAGCTGGAACTGATGGGATCATGACAGAAATGTTAAAAGCAGGGGGGGATATAGTGTTGGAGTGGTTGGTATTTTTGTTTAATAAATGTATGAAGGAGGGGAAGGTACCTAGGGATTGGCGGAGTGTGTGTATAGCCCCTTTATGTAAAGGGAAGGGGAACAAAACAGATTGTAAAAATTATAGAGGAATAGGTTTACTGAGAATACCAGGAAAAGTGTAAGGTAGGGTTATTACTGAAAGAATTAGAGGAAAGACAGAATGTAGAATTGCA